TTTATTTTGTTAACTGTACCATTAATTAAAATAGTCTCATCAAATTTTAAAATATCATCATCTAAAAAGTGTAGCTTGCAAACAGAATCATAACTAGACAGTACTTTATCAGCCCTAGGAATCACATGCTGCCATTGTTCTAAATGTTTAGGATCCTATAAAAAATATTTTCAATGACTAAATTGGAGTCCAATAAAGAAAAATAACAGTAGTAACTCATCATCTAACATCAAAAAACATAAAAAAGCAAATTTTCTTTTCTAGTAAGTTAAATTTAATGTGTAATTATTGTTGTTTGTAAGTCAGGATTTATGACTTTAGTATTTTTTATTATAGAATTTTGTAATTAAATAAACTGCACTCCGTAAGATACGGGTTGTGAGTATTTTACAATAAATATATATTATTTAGAAATAAATGCATTATTTTACTTACACTAGGAGCTTTAAAAAGACTTGGATTTTTATCTCCTTGCGATTTCTTTAATTTCATATCGGATTTATATCCCGTTTTGCATCCCGGAACGAAGCAAATCCTGCTTTGTCGTTTTTGTTACTCATTGTTACTTATAGTCAGGTTCTTTATTTCAGCTTATTTTTATTCTTTTCACTAAATTTTACAAAAATCACTTTAATTCACATTGACTTATTTTTTGAAACTCCATAAAAATAGGGACGGAAATTTGACCAAGACCGATTCGCCTCCTTATATCTAGTCTTCATACTGTCTCTAAATGATGTACTAAAGGTAGGCCCTACTATACAAGATGACATTTTTTCAATTGTAACGCGCTTTAGAACTCACAATATTGTTTTTATAGCAGACATTGCGAAAATGTATAGATAAATATTGGTTCATCCGGATCAACGTAACTTGCAATGAATTTTTTGGCGTTTTGAACCGAGCGAACCGCTTTGTACATATAAAATGAACACTTCGACGTATGGTACTAATCCAGCCTCTTTTTTTGGCTACTAGATGCCTAAAGCAGTTAGCTATTGAAAATGAAATGACACCCTGAACCTAGACAATCGATATTTAATGACTTTTATTTGCTCCGCGCGAAACCGCAGCGCCAATTCGTTTTGGTATTAATGGACTATTTCTGTGTATACTGACAAATACAATTTTAATAGAATTCGTAATTAAAAAGTATATATGTTAGTTTTAATAAAAGTATATGGATTTGTAAAACAAGTAAAACATTAATTTATTATTATTATATATTTTTAACGCTTAAATTAAAGAAAATTATGTATAATCAATGAAAATCAATAATAAAATATAGGCAGGCAACAGTATTTACTGGAAAATGTATGAGAAGTTGTCTAAGTCTAATAAGTTGTCATTGAAGAATTAGCCTGTTGTCAAAATAAAAAAATACCATTTAGTAATAGCATAAAGTTAAAATGTATAAAAAAAGGATCGCTATTTATATTTTCATTTTTGTTCGAAAGAAAACATAGAATGAATGATTAAAACTGGTTTCTCATCAGTAAGTCACAAAATTACATTCCATCCACATATTAGTAATCAAAGGCAAAAATCTTGAAATCTAGTCCTTGCTGAATGAACATTTAAGAATAAAAGGACATTAAAGAACATCGTAAAATGATAATTTATTGTTTATTTAAAACCATTTAAGTTTCTGATGTCTACTATTTACAGCATTACTGTTATTATTACAAAAATAAAGGTAATTTTTCTTCTTATTGTACATCTATCCATAGAAGTTTCACTGTTTTTTTTTTGCTAGTATTTGTACAATTGTCAATACAGCAACTCCGGTTGCTTATTGTATTGTCTGTACCTATTTTTTTGAAAAAAAAGTAAAATGTATACGTGTATTTGATATGCCAAAATTACAAAATATCGCCCTAAAATGCACGAATTATCCGCAGCTAGCGCTAGTATCGCTTTTGCTTCCCTTTCCATGACTTCGCACGGAGCAAATATGGACGACTATATATCTGGAGCATCTGATGAAATTTCCGCAATCACACGCACAATATATCCCCTATAGTAGTGCATCTCACTTGTTAAAGAGTTGGCACTAAGTTTGCAGCGCAAAAATGCGTATGCGTCTGGCCGCTCAACTAACTGGTGATGGCGGTAAATTCAAATATAATTTTAAGGCGAAATTTAAATTTCCCGCCAAAATCGTACATTTTCAGCCGCAGAATGGCGGGAATTTTGAAATATATTCATTCGAAAATAATTGAGAAGTATATTGCATGTTCGATTAAACGAGCTGTAAGTCCAGGCGCTATTTTTATTTTGATAGCCTAAAATAATACTAATTTTTTTATTGTTAGCTATTACAATAAGAGCAGCATTTGGATTAACAACACATTTAAATGAACATGTAATATACTTTTCAATTTTACCTGAATCACTTATTTTTTACCTATAGAGGTTAGATCTGAAAAAAAATTGGCTCTGGTAAAAAAAACAAAAAATTGTATAAAGTATTTTATTTGAAAAATTATAAAACTTATTTAATTTATTTTAAAGTCGATGATAACTCTAGCCATATCCATTTTACTGAAAAAAAAAAGAAACTATTAAATGAAATTATTTAGTTATTAAGAGATGTTTGTGATAATACCAAAGCATATTAACTGTTGAGTAGCGACAGCTGGGGAACCAAATTCTAGTGCGCCGACGCGAAATAGAGAGGCGAGACGTCTTCTAAAGATGTAAACAACCCCTTTCACTTTAGTCCGGCAGCTGATATAGGAATTCGTTGTTGTGGATTTATTAGTCAAAAATTGTATTCAGCGACATGTTTAAACAACGCGAAATTTAAAGTTTGAGACAACTCGATTAATAAATAAGAAGGTCCCTAAGTAATAATTTTTATTGTTATCAAAAATCAAACCCCTGTGCGCCTACCAACTTTCAAGTCTCTAGCTCATCCGGACGTAGGTAAAAAAATTGAAATTTATCAATAGTGATATATATTTTTATATTTATTACATAAATTAAATACTCATAAATATAAAACTGCCTGATGACTAAACATTTATTATAAATGTAAACTACAAAAGAGTTTTACTTCAAACTACGTCGAGCAGTGTAAACATCACATTCAAGACCAGTTCATAATTCGAGCAGTGTTTTAGTGTGTCGTTCCGTCAATAACTACTCAACGGTTAATATACTTTGATAATACAGTGACAGCTATCGAATGTTGTACAATACGTTTTGCTAATGTCCAAGTAAAAACTACAAAGAGTTAGCATTGGAGAAGGAATAGAATACTATGAACGTAGCCAGCCGGCTACGTGGGGATGCATCACACCGTGTGCCTGTTCATATTACACAGCACACAAGGCAACATTCATATTATTCGTTTCCTGCTCGAACTAATGCACTAACTCTTTAGTTTTCTTTTCGATGCTAGCCAAGCGTATTGGAAACTGTTCATTAGCCGATACTGTATGTAAATGCTAAAATCAATAAGTGGTATAAAAAAATTTAGTTTAAATGGACAGCTACTTCAAAAAAAGGGAGAAACACTGAAACAGTAAATTATTATACTGGAAAACTATTATTTAGGGCTTGGATGACAGCCATAGGACTCCCTCCTTGAATCGTGTCCATAGGAAAGCATAAGATCTTAGTTAAATTATAATATTAAGAGGGTAGGTATTAACTGAAAAAATATGAAAAATTATTACAAACTTACCTCAAAATTGGCACCTACATTAAAAGAAGGGAAAACGAAAACATTAAATTGTTATACTTGAATTTTAAAGGCTTTTCCCACTGGAAAAGTATTATCTAAGGCGGAGACCCTTGGATGACAGCCATATCAATCCCTCCTTGATTCCCCTTTTTCTGAGTTTGTTGTACGTTTTGTTTCCCATATTAAATAAGAAAGCACTTAATACAACAACACAAATTACAATAAATATCGCTGAAACAAAATTAATATTAAAATTCGTAGAAGAAAAAATCAAAAAATTATCACTTGTTAATACTTCATGCTTCGCTTGTCAAAAACTTCCTCTTCAATCAATGAACGTGCCGATGTTGGACGTGTCAAAATTCAAAACGATACTAGCGCCATGAGACCTGTGTCTGGCCGCAACGTAACTCAAAGCCATTTCTTGAATCCCAGTAACATTACTATAGGGGATATATTGTGATCACGCGCATAAAAGAGGTCAGTTCCATCCTGAGTTTGGCCGGTTTTGTGCTGAGACAGTGGGTTTCAAACAAACCTAGTATACTAAGTGAGTTAAAAATTGATAGTTCCGATGTTGAATATATTATTATTAAGGATAGTCAAGACTCAAAAACGTTAGGATTGTATTGGAATCCTAAGGCCGATAGTTTTAGGTTCCTTCCAAGCCCTTGTATTAAATACGATTAAAAGGTTACTAAAAGAATCATTCTTTTAACTATCGCGCGAATTTTTGATATTTTAGGTCTAATAGGTCCTATTATAGTCACGGCGAAAATTATGCTTAAAAGGTTGTGGCAACTTAAATCAGATTGGGATGAACCTGTTCCAATTGAGATTTTTGCTGATTGGAAAAAGTTTTATTCTCAAATGTGTGACATAGCCCATATACGTATCCCTCGTTCGTTATTACTAAATAGTTTTATTACAGTCGAATTGCATGGCTTCTGTGATGCCTCTATAAGAGCGTTTGGTGCCTGTATTTATCTAAGGTCAATAAAGGCCAATGGCGATGTCCTAGTAGAACTAGCTTGCTCTAAAAGCAGGGTAGCCACATTAAAAACAATTTCATTGCCCCGTTTGGAGCTCTGTAGAGCTTTATTACTTGCACAACTATGTGCGCAAGTCAAATTGTCTCTAAAAATAATCACGTTGAAAAATGTTTCCTTTGGACCGATTCAACTATAGTTTTATCTTGGTTAAAGCTAGAACCCAATCGACTTAAAACTTTTGTTGCCAATAGGGTGACTAAAATTTCAGAAATGACGAATTCAGACATGTGGTCACATGTGCCAACTAAACAAAACTATGCTGTTATAATCTCCCGCGGTGTTTACCCTAATCAGTTACAACATAACAAGTTATGGTGGAATGGACCTGAATTTTTAAAACTAGATATTACTCTTTGGCCCAAGTTAAACTATGCATCAATTCCTGTTCCTGATTTAGAGGAATTCAAACCTACCCGTTTAACCATTTAAATAGATGATAGTCTGTTAGGAAGATATTCGTCTTACAATTGCTTGATTCGTACAGTTGCTTTCGTATTGAGATTTCTTCACAATAGTCGTCTTAAAGGAGAAAGCCGTCAAAACAGACTTTCTGGTTCTTTGCAGCTGGATGAAGTTGAAAATAGTAAAATTGTTTTATCCAGGCTCGTTCAACAAAAATATTTTGCAGAAGAAATTCGTTGTCTGAATAAAAATTCCTTAGTCCCTAATAAAAGCAAACTAAAATGCTTGAATTCATTTCTGGACAAATCAGGTCTAATTAGAGTTGGCGGGCGGCTGTCCAACGCGGTCCTACCCTTGGAATGTAAATTCCCTATAACAATCCCTTCAAAGGGAAACTTTACTAAACTAGTTATTTTAAATGCTCATGTAAGTGACTTGCATGCTGGGCCACAACATGTTTTATCACGCGTTAGAACTAAATATTGGCCTCTCAGCGGTCGTAGAACAGTTAGATCAATTTTGAGTAAATGCATAATTTGTTTCAGGACAAAACCGTTAACTTTTACACAAAAAATAGAAGATTTGCCCGGTGACAGAGTTAACGTTCCTCGAGTTTTTTCTAAAATTGGTGTGGATTATGCTGGTCCTTATTTAATCAAGGACAGTACGCTCATAAACAGAAAATATATAAAGGCGTATATATGTATTTTTATTTGTTTAGCCACGAAGGCAATTCACATAGAACAAGTTACTGAGCTTACTGCTGAAGGTTTTTTAAACATTTTTAAGAGATTCGTAGCTAGAAGAGGTCTTTGTTCAGACATATATTCTGATAATGCTGGCAATTTAACTGCAGCTAATCGCGAACTCAAAGAATTTGTAAATTTGTCGAGTACAGACAAATTTAAATCCTTTTCAATTGAATCTAAAATCAGATGGAATTTTATTCCCTCTCGCTCGCCCCACTTTGGAGGTCTATGGGAAAGTGCAGTACGTTCAGTAAAATTTTACCTCAATAGAATAATTCACAATGTATATTTGTCATATAAAGATTTTTACACGTTATTGACACAGATAGAGTCAATTTTAAATTCTAGATCCATCACCCCTCTCACAGAAGATCCAACTGATCTTCAACCTTTGACGCCAGATCACTTCATCATTGGCAGTGCATTGACTTCGTTTAACGAGCCAGTTGTGAGTTCCTGTCCAAATACTTTGGTTTCCCGTTATAAGTACATACAATTGTTTGTTCAACATTTCTGGAATAGGTGGTCTAAAGACTACTTGCATCACCTACAGGTCCGGTGAATGGTCTGCAGATCCCAAAGCTGTCGAACTAGGAAGTCTAGTTCTCTTAGAGGATGATAACACTCCCCTCCCCCTTTTTTATTTACATATTGTGGTTTACAACCTAAAAAACTTGTGTTGTATCACGATATTCGACAAATTCAACAATATTGAACAGTATGTAAAGGTATTGATTCCCCATATCATAAGGGTGCAAAAAAAAATAATACCGCTATCTTTGGGAGACCGCCACATTGGATTCAGAGTGATATCATTTTATTTTTGTATTCTCCTTAGCAAATTCTTTAATTTGATACTCATAAAATAAAATTTTGACCGCCATGTGGAATTTAGTGTTTTTTCGTATTCGTCTCAGCAAATCCTTTTAATTGTACCCATATGTTGGGAAACAAAAAATTACTAGTCCATCATCTTTTGGAGTTCACCATATTGTATTTATAATGACATCAATTACCTAACGATGCATTTTCATCCAAACTAAATGTGTATTTAAAATTTTAGCCTAATTGGTTGTGGATAACTCAATTGTAACAAACATATACACATTACAATTCAACTGGGTGGTTTAATATATTTTACTAACACTTAATTTTTCTAAAGATACAAATTACATCTTTCAATACCAATACATTTTATTGTTTCAATTTCTCCAATCCAAACCAAAATCCTCCTTCTGTAGATAAGCTGAAGTTTATTGCAGATAATTTAAGGGGTATTTGTGACTTCTGAGTTGGTACCAGCGCAAAATTTTGCAATAGATAAAAGAACACAGTTTTTACTTCTAGCAGAGCAAATCTAGATCCTATGCAGTTTCTTGGTCCTAAACCAAACGGTAAGTACGTATAAGGATTAATGTTTGCTTTGTTGTCATCGTTAAATCTTTCCGGATTGAATTTTTCTGGTTCCGGATAAATATTTGGATCACGGTGGATACCATATATAGGTAACCAAATTGCCATCTTTTTCTTTATCACAACAGGTTTTTCTCCAGTTAATTTTGGTTCAATTGTATAAGTTTTAGTACATTCTCTATCGGCAACTATAGCAGATGGCCATTTTCTTAATGATTCTGAAAAATATTACTCATTTATACATAATAATTATATTTGTAGATAAACATTTGTGAATAAATTTGAAATTAGTAATACTAAATTTTTTCCGATAACCCCCTATGAAAATAACAGTTTCGCCATTGTTTTGAAATATTAATTAAATCAAAAAAGTCACTTCTGTGGGGGATTTATGATGATAATAATAATCATCAATATAATACCTGACACAACCATATCCAAATATTTCATCTTCAGCAAAGCTTCATAGGTAAGCTCTCCGTTGCAATTTTCTAAAGTTTCTTCAATTTCTTCTCTCAATTTCTGCTGTATATCGGGATTTATTGCTAATTCATAAGCCATAAAACACATTAGCGCTGATACCGTTTCAAAACCAGCGAAAAAGAATATAAGAGCTTGGGCAGCAATATCCAAATTTGATAAATCTTTTTGTTGTACTGCTTTTCCTAAAAGATAGATATATTTATAAAATATTGTAATCCAAAAAATACTAGAAAAATAATGTTTATTCGGGTTAATTGTCTTTACCAACTTCCTAATATTCCTTGGCACAAGAGCGGGTGAAAACTACAGAGAGCCCCAGCACTATAGTAAGCAGGAAAGACACAAAACCAGCGATGCCAGTTTTTACCGCCTGGCGAACGTTATAGTAGACGACACAGATAAATTTGACTATTTCACACTTAAATATCGTATTATTAATATATCTATATATAATTTACAAAGACACCGCCGACGTTCAGCTTAGGAAACACAGTTGTCAAACTGCAAAAATAAAGTGATTCGTTCAATTATGTTACAGCTAAACGACTGTGTATGTTAAGCGCACAGTACCTTGGAGCAAATATGTTCAAGTGAGTATCAAATAATTATTTCATGCCTGGCATCGCTGTACGATGAGAATCTGTCGGTTCGATTAATTATCACACCTTGATTTTAGCGTATCCAATTGGTCGAATCGACCTTTTCTCATATTTCTATTTGCTGCAGCCCACGATAACCCGTAAGAAAAGCCGGTTAACGTGGACTGGGATATCCAATAGTAATTCTGTGATTTTGTTCAACTTATGTTCTAATTGGTTATTCGGCATGTTTTTATGTATTATCGTCGTGTTGACTGAGCACAGGTGGATAATATTTGTTTATCCAGTGTTGTATTCACATTACTGTTTGGAGTTTTGGTTTATAAAAATATGGCTTTTTGGAGGCCCTTTAAAAGTGATGAAAATAATGTTATTCCTGAAGATATGTAAATAATTCTAATTCTGATTGACTATTTTTCAAATAAATAGGATTAGGTGCACCTGAAAAACTACTAAATTAATATTTAAATACCCACATAAATTGTAAAATTGAAACAGTTCAAAGTCGGCTTTAGCAGTTTATATCATTGTTTACCTGTACAGGGTGATTCACAAAGAAAAGGTTATATTTTACCTGCAAATTCTATAGTGGAAAATGATGATTTTTGGCTTTAAACTAGGGGTCAAATATTAATATATACTGAGAAAATGTAAAAAATATCAAATCTGTACGAGAATACTTTATTAAAAAAGTGACAAGCTGAATAAATGTATATTAATTACTAGTAAATAAATGAGACTATTAAGATTACCATTTCAATATTTGTGGTATAATTAAATGAAACAAACAATTGGCATTTATAATAAATTTTAGTAATATATTTGTTAAATTTTTGTTGATTCCGTAAACATAGGGTAAGTGCCACACTAAAATTTAATTTTTTCGTGTTATTTTTTTTTGTGTGTCATCGGCTTCAACTGCTACGGTTATTTCGCCTCGTGTTCTGTGTAGGGCTTGTTACTGTTTCCCAGCGCCACTTTAGGAACAGCACTGTTAATTAGAACCCAACAGTGAATGGTCGAGTGGGGAATCCTACCAAGGCATCAGAATTAATTTTAAATAATTAAATTAAATGAAAAAATTCCGGCCAACGGTGGGATTCGAACCTGGAACCCTTGGATCCACAGGCAGAGGCTCTACCACTGAGCCACCCACCGTGTTATTATATAGAATATTGTTATTTAGATTTTTAATATTACATTTACCCCAAAAAACGCACTCTTACTTCAAGTGACCCTACATAATTCTAGGCAGAACCCATCAAAGTTTTTTCTGAGAATTAAGAAGAATTGGAGGAGAAAGACGAAGAGAAGGAGAAGGGGGATGATATTAACCAAAAATTTGGTATGTAGATATCACCCTCAACTCAAAAATTTATTCGAAATATAAACCACCAATTAAAATTGAAAAATAATAGATCTAATTACGGTCTCATAGAAATAATACTCATTTGAAAAAAAATTTAAATTCTTAGATTAGAAAAGTTATTACGAGCTAGGAATGTCTTCCAAGAAAAAAGCAGACTCAAAGATCTCTAGTTGGTCTAGATCACTGCATGATGGAGAATATTAGAAGAAAGGTTTGTAATTTTAATTTTAATAATATTGTTCCGTATTTTTAAAAAATTAAAAATTAAATAAAGTTGGTTCCCGGTTTCCCTTACAAATTTGACAAAATAACTAGAAAAGTGCTCTATTCTTTGAGTTTTAGGTATCCTACCTTAAATAGAAGACATTATATTAGGGAATCTTAAAGAAATATGATTTTACGTAATGAATACGTCACTGGAATAGATGAAGATCGACAAGATAGATTCATAGTGTATTTTAATGAGACTTGGTACGACACTCAAGATATTGTGAAAAAAGAATAGAGTGATCAATCTGCTAAATGTTCTGTGAATGTTTCTCCAAATAGAGGAAAACGTATTATTATATTTCGGTAATGAAAACGGTTTTGTGTGGAATTACTTAATTATAAGGGATATTTTAAGTTGTTCAGCAGATTATCACCAATATTATGTCATCTACCTTATTTAAGAATTGATTTGGTTACAATTAATTCCTAATTTGCCAAAAATGCTGTTATAGTAATAGATAATTAATACCCCTTATCACTTTTGTCAAACTAGTAAAATTTTAAAAGCGCAAGCTCGAAAAGAGGTAGTTTCCGCGTTTTTGAATACAATGTGTGTATTATATCCACCTACAGTTTAAAAAAATATTTTTTTTAAATATTGAAAGGCTTAACTTTCAAACCTAATGATGTTGTGGATTAAATGGCTACGGCATTTCTTCATACCGTACTACATTTATCACCATATTAACGTACAATAAATACCATAGAATTAATTTGGAGGAATATCAAAAGGGAGGTAAAAAAATAATCCTGCGTTGTTTGAAACCGTTTTAAATGTTATCAGAGAAGTTGTTGGAGGTATATCTCAAGAATTATGCTCCAATTGCGTTCTCCGTATTGCCAAAATTAAAAATAACCATGGAATATTTTCGGCTCATTCTTGCATTATAAACCTGAATGACACGTCAAGTGAAGATGATAGTTCTGTTGGTTCACGTTATTTTGAAAAGGAGCATGGTATTGTTCTTATTTTCCTTTTCTAGGAATGTAACCTTGACGTGTTGAGAAGGCTTGCATGCTTTAAATATTTTAAAAATTAAAGACAGACTAATATATTCCACAGTAATTTAATTTTTTATGATAAGAGGATACTAATAACAGTTGTTTAAGCATTTTTCGTAGCATTCTGCATTGATTTTTAATATTTAATGTAATAATTAAATACTTCAAGTAAATAAAATAGTAGATGAAATATTATAATTTCATGGCGATTTTTATTACAAGTCGTGAATATTTTTTTCAGATCAATTTCGTAAGTGTTGTCTTTAAAACTAAATTTAGTGATATTTATTAAATAATCGCAGAAGGAAATTATTGAAATAATGTGATAATATTTAAATACGTATATTTGCTTTTTAAAGTGTAATATACAACTAATAGGTCCGTCCCTGAGTCGTTTAACGTGTTTTTATACGATTTCCTATGTTTTGCCGAAATAGAATGAATATCTTTACCTCCAACTATACAACGCGATCGGGTCGTATAAAACCAAAGAGGTTAGAAAGGGTAGAGGTAACTTAGGAAGCATTTGTCACTGCGCGAATTTTGCCAAAACCGAAAAACTGGGTGGAAGGAGTAGGGAGATGTTCTGGGCCGGACTTAAATATTTGTATTGTAGTTACCTAATTATGAGACGTTTTTTTGACTTTATTTGTTAGCACGATTCATTTATGATGAGGACAATAACATACTTCATCAATATATAACTAGCTAAGGGCTCCGATTCCATCGTTGTGTCAAACAATGTTTAAATAACTAAATGAAGATTAAAATGACATTGTTAATGTAAAAATGTCATTTTAATCTTCGTTTAGTATTTTAAACTTCGATTAACAAAACGATGAAACCAACCCTAAGTAAAAGTTTATAAAATTATTGTAACAAAATAGCTGTTGAGACAAAAAGTTATCGAAACAGCCAAGTTACTTTTTGCTCGAATTACACACAAGATTTTTTCTACGATCACACCAAAATAAAATATATAATTAAATTTTATTAGAAATTGGTTACCTTTTTGTTCGTTATAATATTTTAGGTTTATTTGACATAAGCCTACTCTTCGAAGAGAAAAAATGTTTTGGTACTTATATACCGGTAATTATTTACGAAAAATAGCGTTCAATGATTTAAAATATTAGGAAGTCAATTAATAGCTATTTATGTAACGTGTTTACATACAAGATTTTTTATAATTTTGTCGTGATTATTTATAAAATTGTGTTAAAAAATGATTCACCATCATTCTTTTGTAGGTACTTCCAATCAAATATTTCAGAAAATTGTTGTATTTGTTTGCCCTACGGCGTTTTCTTTTCAATAGTAATAATAAAAATAAGGGACAAGTGCAGTGTTGCCGATCTGATTTTTGACATTACCCGCGAGAAATTTGAAAAAAAACATTTTTACCCATTATCCTTAAAGGAGTACGTCAAAATTGTACCCCCAACATTTCTGGACAGTTTTCAATAATGCTGTTCAATTATTTATAAAATAAAATGCAGTTTACAGCTTTTATTTTTTTGTTGTTAAACGTAATGTCATTGCCTGTTTTCGATATTTGATTTTTCCGATTTTTCGTTTTTTGGATTTTTCGATTTTTTATTTTTCGATTTTTCTATTACTCGATTTTCGATTTTTCGACTTATTTTCATTTCGTAACTGGTGACATAATCAACTTTTCGTAATCAGTTGCATAATGTTCTACTGGTTGCATAAAGTAGATCGTTTTGGCACTTGCTGCGATTACAAAATATATTACTTTATATGTCAAAATTAAAGAAAATAACAAAATTTATATTAAATGGATAGAGTGTTTCTCAAACTTTTTTGGCGACGGGGCCCTCAACACATAAAACACATAATTTAAAAAATATTTTTCAAATTTTTCTTCATTTTGAGTCTCATTTTGACGTGATAAAAAAATCGGCTTTATATTATGCTCCGA